TGAAGCCTCGAGAATGCTCTACCATTTGTTAGTCATAAATGTTACCTATGAATTTTTCAGAAAAAAAGAAAATTTTGGAAAGAGTGTTGCAGAACTTTCTTTCCAACCTAATAATTTTCCCTTCACAGGGCTATGAAATTAGATTGACCATCCCTTGATCCAAGGCTAAGCTGAAATCGAACAAAGCTTAAGACATCGATCGATTCCAGAAAAAAAGCTATAAAGGATAAAGGATAAAGCATTTGCCGTTGATCAATCCCTTTTTGGGATGCGGCACGCATTCTACTTCCATTTGTACATTCGTAGTGGCGTTTGAATGCGATGTGGCCTATACAATGACTTGCGGGGGCCAGCCGATGTACAAGTCAGTGTTTTTCCTCCCAGACAAGTCTGGTACCAATTAACCGACCCCGGAGGGATGGAAGGCTTGGTTGGCCCGGACGACGCACGACCCAGGATTTCGATTCCCGGACCGCGTGTGCGTGGAAAGCAGCGTCACTTGTCACTAGGCCTCCAAGAAGTATCACAGTCTTTCTCAAACCAGCCATGGTTATGCGGAAGGAAACGTTAGCTCTCGGTGTTGGTCAACTGCTTCTGAATGGGCCACACATTCTACCCATTCGAAATGCATTGGCATTTGGAAGGTAATGACCTGTATTTCGAAGGCGAGGCTCTAATCTCTTTCATAATTCAGCACTTGAACCGGATTTATCAAAGATCCCAGAGAGATGAACTACAGTAGCTGTTGAGCTGCGAAGACGAAGTGGCCTTGTTGATGTTGTCCAGGAAATGTATAAACGTAAACGAGATTGGGCCGGTCACGTAGCACGTCTTAAAGACAACAGATGGACTTCCCGGCTTATGAATTGGATCCCGTTGGATCACAAGCGATCGCCGGGAAGGCCAAAATGAGGTGGGCCGATCCGATGGTGAAAATGCTCGGCCAACAATGGATGGAGACGAAATGCTCAGGACCGGAATGGATGGTTCGAAGTCGACTTGCGTGAATGGCGAATGTTTGCGTGAAAGAGTCGGATACAGGTAATATATGAAAAACTAAGATGGTTCTTCTAATGAAAACGATGAGCATACATGTTTTCCTTGCAAAAGAAGAAACTAAAGTAACACTAAATATAAGATAGCGTTCGAGTGGGAACTGATCACAGGGCTGTTCTCATTTGTCCGCCGAATGAACGACTACAGAGATAAGATTGCTACAAAGGAGCGTTCAATTAGTTGGGACGGAAAGAGCTAGTACAATCAAGCGTGACTGGTCTCACTTTTTGACGAGGGCTTTGAGAAGGGGTGGCAGTGGAGCAGTGACATGTGTAGCTTACCAAGTTCATGGTCCACAGATTGTCACGGCCCTTTCAATTTCCCCTCAACAAACGCGGTTGATTAATATATAAATGTATTTTGCAGGCGGTTACAAGAGATTGAATGGAGTTACAGTACAGACTCGACGCTCGCTTGTCAGCGGGATCAGCCCTCGTGGACGGCGCTCCAGCTGTCGGTAAGACTCCTAACTGCCGGTCCGAGCGAGGGGAAAGGCCACTCCCACTGACAGGCGTGACCAAAACAAGAAGGACGTTGCGGGTGCAAGTACACACCGCAACATAGAACAAGTTCTGGTTCAAACGTCTCCCAGGCCAAGCAGATCCTTCATCTTTCTTAAGTTGTTCAATTGTTACCACATCCGTCTAGGAAGGATGGAAACCGATAACTTGCACTACATAAGCTATGTCCCGCAAGTCGTTGTAAATCCAAATGGCATTCAATAAACTACAGTCCTGAACGAAAATAGAACATAGATATCCTACGTAAACTTACGGGGCATACTCCGTAATGTGGTCCGAATGATATTTGGCACTGTTGTCGTAGTCCAATCATTTCGCCTGGAGTCAAAGAAATAATCTCTTGTGGTGATGTGGACGTGTGCTCGCGGTCAGGACCACCAAATTTTCGTACACACTGTGCAGTAGGTGTTCTGTAAACTTTGCTTCAATAAGTTCAGCAACAAAATTATATAAAAATATCAGCCAAAATTGAGAACTAACTCTAGGTTCTTTTCAATACTTCTCACACTGCATGGACTCATTAATCGGCTATGGGAAAAGTGATTGAAGTCTCCAGAACCAGATACGGTTGAAGCCATCAGGAAGTTCTCCGAGGACACACAATCTTCCGCTTCTGGATTGCCGTCGTGGAATGCGCCAAGGCTTGAAATTTGAGGCAGTTAAAATACCTCACTTTCAAAGTAGTTTAGTCTAGTATGGATATTTTCACACATTCACAGTAATCGGGAAAGGGTCGATTCGATTGTCAGCAAGGTAACGAGTCCTTAATTCTCATCACTTCCGAGTGGAGGTCATGTCAGTTCCCGGTGTGGTCAAAGAGTGAGAGCTGGTGGGGACGTGCATGCAGGAAAAACCGATGGCTTTTTTGGTAATTTTTTCCGAGAAATGCTGATAAATAGAAGGAATATGTAAAAAGCATTCAATTATGATTCTAGAGGTGGGGTGGTCCCGGAAAAGAGGAAGAAAGGAAAGAGAGTTTCACGGATCTAGCCCTGGTCGCTCCAACGCAAATGACTCTGCGCCGCAGTGATACCGCTGCCTCAAGAGCGCCAGCGTTTTTCGCGCAGCATCACGTGAAAAAAGCGGAGCTCACGGTTCAAGGTGTGAGTTGCGGGCCGTACGAGCTTCTAGCACCCTTCTCGCGCGCTTTCAAGCCGCAAAAGGGGCGGAAGTCAGCCTGTCTACTGCCCCCGGGGATGGAACAGTTGAGCGCGCCTAGTCCCGGGGCGCCTTCAGGCTTGACCATGCTCATGAAATCGTGCTGCTTTTAGGTATTGCAATATTTCATCCTTATAAAATAGTCAGTGGTTAGATAGGTCACCTGTGACCGAGCTCATGTGCTGCGATGACTGCCGTGGCTGCTGCTCCGATATCCTCCACGATGCTTGCTGAATCTCCTTTTTTACATATGTTCCCAACATATGCCATTCCTTGAGTATACGAATCACCTCGAGGCGACAGAAGATCGAACCTGTGCTTTGGAAGCTGATTTAGTTCATAACATTGTAATAGTACCCAAAGCAACTATACTTTCAATGTAACCCTTTTTAGAACAATTCCTAACACTGATTTGAAAGGACGTTCTACGATCGTAAGATATGGTTACCTTACCCGTGGAGGTAAAAAGTTAGCATAAAGTGAAGAATTGAAATGAAACTCTCAAGAATACTCAAGCCCAAGGGTCCTTTTCTAGGACATGGTTTGGTCCATGACAGTGAGACAAGAAGATGCTGCAGTGACAAAGCAGAGTAGAGAGCATATGAGATGTGGGAGACGCAGACGCCTCGACGCTCAGTTCTTTCTATCTCGATAAGGAGCTGTAGAAGCACTCTAAGCGCCGAATGATAAGGCGTTTTCGTGGAATGTTTATCTGTCCTATCTTAGGTAAATATTACAACAAAAATGTAAGTTTAGCTCAGATTCCAGAACGATTTTCTACCTTTATTGAGCAGCTGAATTCTATTTGTATAAATTGCAGTCCTTACTTAGTTATCAGAATAGCGTGATCGTGTTTGGGAAGATATGGATCATGTGTTCTCAGCCAGTGCGTGAACTTGTCCAGTGCGTCCACAGCCGGAATACTTAAACTCAATCTGAAATCAAGAAATTTGAAGATTCTAAGGAGCGACATGATACGATTCTGTGCAACTTGCTTCTTTGATCAATCTCTGCAATCTTTGTGTAATGCAGAAAAAAAACGATTAGGAGCTTGTTGTGAAGTAATATCGAATTCGACTTTTAGCTGTCCAAGTTTCAGTATTTCTTTGTTGCTCGAGACATGAAGAACCGCATTTATAAACTTGAAGTTCCTAGAACCAGCGGTAATTGAACCAAATCTTCGTACCAAGCCAGGGGTACACCCATTCCTTCTCCCCTACCCCTTGAGCCTAAACAAACTTTCCTGCCCAGTCCAGGATCGCCTCGCTCATTCCATTTTAGGCTGATTGAGTTTGACCTTACTGGGAAACAAATTCACATAAAAGTGTTATCAAAGCCTTTTCTTCAGCGTCATCAGTGCCATTATCTTGATTTATCCATGGAGCAGCAATGCAGAATTGAGTGCCCCCACGCCATTTTCACTGTTCCTGCCTCGTATTTTTTTCGAAAATATTTCAAAAGAATCCTCCCCGGAGCATCATGCGTTTCCACACTCAAAAATAGACTGTTCTTCAACTCAAGGCACTCGAAAAATCTCAACTACGCTCACCTCCTATCTAAGTTGACTGTGGTATTTGGTAGTTCCTTTTCGTTTCAAAATGTCAACGAGTGGCGAAAAAGCCTACCTACTCTGTACTATTCGTCTCCACAAAACCGACACCGATCGTGGAATTATCTAAAGTCGAGTTGTAGAAGGGCGCATCTCCAATTTCCTCCAAAGCATACAATACTGGACAATCGTCTTCTCTGAAACAGCCACCTGATCTTAGAGAACAATTAAAAGTGTGAAAAGTCTCCATGCGGGAACTTTTTTTACTGTTTATTTGAAGCGGGATCTACAGAACAAATGCAGTTTGTTTCCTCCGCACAAATGTATTTTAAACAATACTGTGCTCCTACGTGACTCCAAAAACTCTGACGTACACAAAGAAGCCCAAGAAGTCCCGTTCCACAAAAGCGTGGTCACTGTCGAACTTTTAGCGCAGGATCCATTTTCCATTTTTTTACATTGTGAGACCACACACATATTATATAAAATTGGATAATCACTAATAGCATAAAGCAATTTGCGAAATATTGGAAAAATTTCAAATTCCTTACCTTTGAGCTATAAAAGTTCCTACCATATTTAAGTGAAGAGTTTTCTCGGCAATTTTAACATCGTTATAAATTGTCTTCATCTGAAAACAGAAAACTTCCATGGCACTTCATGATCCAAAATTGTCATCAAAAATCGTCCAAAAATACAATACTAAAAAGCGAAAAGAATTCAACAAAGAAATCATTGGAAGTTATTATCAACTGCTTATATAAATAATAGTAGCTTTTAGTTTGTGAATTATTAATAAAATGGTTAAATAATGATCGTGTTGATTCGAATAAATTCAGTAAGCTCCGGGCTGGCGCCACAATATATACAGGGGGGGGGCCAAAAAAAAAAAGACATTTTGCCTATGTCGGACTTCGGCTCTTTTTTCTTCGCAGAGATTGCTGTCGTTGACGGGAGTTCCTCAGCAGAGTATTCCCTAAGTGTTCCTCTATTAGTGTACGCAGGCTCTCCTTCACTGCCCTCACCGTCTTCAGAATATGACGTCATCTGTCACCGTCGTCAGGCTCAAGGAGGTCTACCGTAAGAGCTTCAGCCTGAAGCTCTTACGCAATTTCGTGAATCGATTTAATGTTGGATAGTTTTCTAGAGGCATTAGCTACCACTGTGCAAATCCCCTCGGAACTAGCTTTCCAGTAAGGGTCGTTATGGTACACGATCCTTCGAAGACCCCATTGAGATCGACCAGTGCACCATGTTTCCAGGGGCTAATTCTTCTGATGCCGTCCACGTACGTGGCCACTATGAAGATTTTCTTATAGAATGGAATGCACTCTTTAATAATAAGTTGGAACCGTTCGGTCTGAGTTGAGTAAAATGTGCTTAAATCCATCTGGAAGTGGAGGCAAAATGTCTTTTTTTTTGGCCCCCCCCCTGTATACTAGGCAATTCTCGTTTATGATACATGATAAATTTACAAAGCGAACCTGTTCAAATAACGCTCTTAGGTAGTCATTAGTGTGCATTTGACCTTGCAACGAAGGCGTAACCGACCTGATATGTCGATGAACCCTGCAAGAAATCGTGTTGTGTAAGGAATCAAAAAATGACAGTTAGTATCGCAAGACGACAATGAAGTAATACTATAGGGAACTTCACTTCCCATATTTTTCCAATGTTTTCCTTTATTTTCGTTATTTATTGGCCGATCAGGGTAGTAGTATAGATAAACAGAAATGTTTCAGAAACGTCAACTGGAGGCGTCCGTATAAAAGGACGTTCGAATCGGCCGCTCCAGCTATTGCTACAGTTGCCTCCGCCTCGACTGCAGCCGTGCCCTCTATACGCTCCTCGACTTCTTTCGATTTGCTGTCAATAGTATTTCTGTAAGGCAAATAACCAATAAAACTGGTTACTTTCCTTGGGCTGTTTTCCAAGACCGCGTGGCACTCAAAAATTTGGGTTTGGGCGAGCAAGACTCAATACTGCTACAAGACTTCAAGACTTCAAGACCAGCTCAACGAAATCTACAGCATCAAACGTTGATCAATTTCTTTCGAGCGCCACACACTACTTCTGCCAGGATATGAGTGGGGCGCCGTTCACCTGATCCTGTTCGGGGATAGAGGCCGATGTGCAGGCCAATGATTTTACAATTAGCGGCACCGTAGAGCGGTGAAACGGTTGGAGTGTGCGGAAGTCAAAACCGTGCTTGATCTTGGCCATGTGCGTGAGATGTGATCCCACAGAAAACCACACCACCTCGTTTTTTAGCGGAGATTTTCCGCGAAGGAGCTAGTTGTCTGAGGAGACAGGGGGCTTTATAAGACCAATATAGGCGCTCCCTTCGTCCGCAAAAGTGTTTGCTTGGAGGCATAGAATTCCTTCATAGTACATTACACGTAGATACATTTGCCTTCTCGGTTCATCTTATTAACTGTCTTAGAATGAGGA